AAAATTGTTCGAAGGAAGCTTCTCCAGGTTTTGCCCGACGCGCCACAGTGCGCCACTATCGGAGCGTCGAGGCGCCGTCGCTGCCATCTCTTTCTCACACCACACCCCCAGTGGCGCCTCCACCTACAATGTGCAATTTCGGCTTCCGTTTGTCCAAAAACTTCACAGTTTAGCCGGAAATCAAGGTTGTAGGTTCAATCAATTTGAGAAATCGAATTTGGGTGAGTTTTTTGGTCGATTTTGAATCTAAAACTTGTATCAACGCTCTGATACCAAATGTAAAGTGGAAGAATGGAACACCTAAGGCCATCCGGGCTCAGTTTTATCAAACCAACCGAGATCGACACCACCAGATAACAACTCAATCTCCTAACTCCGGTTGCTTTTGAATTGCCCACAAATGGCACAAAAGTGGGAGATTATTGCAGCCACACAGTAGCCACAAAGGCTAAGGAAGACAAGGAGAAAAAACACTGTAGTAGGACACACAAAGCAATTTTTTCTCACAAAAGGCTAGGGCAATAACGTGTATTTCTCAAGGCAAAGTGTCTGCCCATATATTGTAGTAAATTTGACTTTTAGGTTAATTAATGGATTAGGCCCAAAAAATGAGACAATAGATAACCAATAAGTGGGTCAAACACTAAAAGTTGTCCAATGAGTAAATGATCAGGGCCACGAGCAGCTCTAATTGAATTCGGCTACTTCCAATGATCCAAAATAGTTATAAGCTCAGGTCGTTCCATTCGAGGTGTTGATAATTCAATTCATTCATTTGATCGATGCCGACTAAATAACTAATTATTTAACATCATAGCTAAGAAGATCGTTTGACAAAAATTTACCCAACAAATAGGCAGGCTGCAGAGCTGGTGGGTGGGTGGCAGCACAATGGGAGTGCATGTGAGACACAGCCAGCATTTGAACTTGGTCATGGAGTATATGATGTTATAGTGGTAAAAGGGAAATATATTTTTGACAAAATCCACATAAGGAAAAATATAGAATTTTTAGCACACGGGTCATAGCAATGATAGGCACTTTTGGTGAGGCAACGGTGATCAAGGAAGGCACGTGATCCTAGCCGAGGTTCCATTTTGTGCGAGTTGTAGGATTTTAGACAAGATTTTTGGTTATTACTCTTAATAAGATTCACATTTGTTTGAGACTTTAGCATGGTATCAACTAGGATTTAAATGAGCACACGGATAAGATGATTTGTGTTCTCCTGTTAAGAAATAAATATCAAATCGAATAAATATTAAAATATAAACTTATAATATATAAGTTGTGTTACTCATCTTAATAATGTTGGTCTTTAAAGATGAAATTTGATGTCTTAATGGAATACTTACGGAAAAAAAAATGAATTTAATTAAGATCACATGAGGAATCTCAGAAGTATACCCTAATTAATTTATGCAAGCCAAAAAATAAATAGAAAAAGAACTAGAAAAAATAGCTATGTACGTGATGAAAAAAAGGTAGACTCAATTAGCTGGATCATCATCAAATGACAGTCACTTAATATGTGGAGGGGAAAAGGTGCCTCTATTCGGGATTGATTGGTAGTAACTCTTTAAGAATTTTGTAGAAAGAATACATAGTAGTGGGGATTATGAGATGTGTAATAGTTTTTAATGCGCGATTTAAATTAAAATTTGATTAGATAATAGAAATAAAAGTGAAGTTACTAATAATATTAGACGTGTACATGCATTATTTTAATGACAGACTTGTAGGTTGTAACCTCAATAGGTGATGCAATTACTAAAACAGTGTCTTCAATTGTTGTTTGTGTCTCGTCGCATTATGAGTTATGGCTCTATAAAAGCTTTTTTCTTTATTAGACCACCAACTGTACAAGTATTTCTTTAAATTTTTTAGCATATTATTTTGAAAACAAGTTGTTTAAGTCATTTTTCCATACATTGGTAGGTTTCATCTTATCCCATCGAGATTCCCAACCACCCACCCTCCATTTCCTTGTGTGAGTGTGTTTACATTGGACATGTTGTAATATTTGACTTACTCATCATATTTGTCTACACAGGATATATTTGTGTTTGATTTAGTCATCTCGTTTGTGTGTAGATTGGACATGTTTTAATGCTTGACAAAGCTAATTTTCATTTCACGTGTTTCGCCTAGTTAAATTATTTTAAGGGTAAAATAGTAAAGTAGTTTGCCCAACAACCCAATGACTAGCATCTTATTGGGTCCTTTATTCTGTAAAGAAATGAGTTGTTACATATTGGAGGTGATGTTATTTTAAAAGTCATTTTTAATGAATAGATAAAGTCAACATATAAGTTTGCACATAAGTTTGATTATGTTTTTAAAATAGCTGTTTCTAGAATACAACAATGTATTATGTTTTTAAAATAGCTGTATCTAGAATACAACAATGTATTATGAGAGTAATACATTTGATACTTTTACGCAACAAATTTTTTAAAAAGAAGATTTTAGCAAAAAATCGATTATGAAAATTTCAACTGCATCATGAAAAATAATTTCTTATAGATTTCATTTATATTGAGAGTAGAGATAGATAAGACTCGAACTTAGGCGTGTATTTGTTTTGATATGTATTAAAATTAAACTGAAAAACAAAAATCTACGATATGTGTGTTCCACCAACAAAGACGGAAGAGGAATGAATAATTAAATAGGTGTAATCGTTGAAACACAATTCAACTTGATCTATAAGAAGTGAATGAATAATGAAAGTAGAAAAAGTACTAGATAGAAACATCAAAATTGACTAGTAAAATGACCTCTCAAAAGATAAATCCTACACATTTAAGATAATCTAATATTTATTTGACTTAAGGTTTTATTATTTTCACCCTTTAATCATTTTATGAATGGTTTAAAGTCTTCAAGAACATAATATCACATTGGATAATAAAGGTTTTATTATGTTTCACCGTTCGATCATTTCTGAACGGTCTAAAGTCTTCAAGAATATAATAACACATTGGATAGGAATGCTTAAGTTTAATATATAAACCTATGTTATTTTAACTTTCCAAAAATCGCGGATCAAATCATAATTTAAGCAAAGCTTGTTTGGCAAAGATTTTTTCGTGAAAAATAGTTTTTTAGAAAACGTTTGATTAAAAAATGGAGAAAAGTTGTGGATCATATAAAATGTCGGTTGAAAATAATTTTGGACAAAATTTCGACAAACAAGCATTAAGGAGATTTTAGGAACTTGACAAAATAGTTCTATAAGTGATCAAGATCAAATATCTATTTTACATTAGAATCATGGTATTACTCCAAACTTTGCCTCTATTTGACAGAGCTTTTTTTTTTTTCCTTAGATTAGAAGATGGTCAAACTTTATTTTTAACCATACATTTCCTTGAATTCATAATTTTTATTTACTTTTTAATTACACAATTCATGAGATTCACCAGCTTATAATCTCAGAAATCTCCTTAGCCCCTGTTTGTTGTAGATTAAAATTAGATTTTTAATAATTTTTTATAAAAGTTGATGAAATGTACGGCTGAAAGTTATGGGTTTCATAAAATGTGTAGTTAAAATTAATTGTTGACTTTGACTTGAGATTAAAATCAGATTTTAATTTGTACGAACATGGGCTTAATAAATTACTTGCATGGTTAGCACAATTAACCAATTNACATATGGAACTGTTTGTTGTAGATTAAAATTAAATTTTTAGTAGATTTTCATAAAAGTTGATGGAATGTGTGGTTGAAAAGTTGTGGGTCCCATAAAATGTGTGGTTAAAATTAATTGTTGACTTTGACTTGAGATTAAAATCAGATTTTAATTTGTACGAACATGGGCTTAATAAATTACTTGCATGGTTAGCACAATTAACCAATTAATTTACAGAAAAATCAAGAATTCATATGGTTATAATCAAGCTCAACTACTCTGGCTACTATGTATTATAAGGAGAATATATATACTTGTAAAATATATAGGATTAATCTTCATCATCATGTGTTTTCACATCAATTTCTCAAGTTTCATCTTGAACATAATCTTGTCATGTATAGAAAGTCAACCCTAATTGCAAGTAATCGAGGTAGTCAAAATAATTAATTGGAATTAATATAGAAAAAATGGCTAAATTATTTTTCATGACATTTCTAACTACCGTATGAAAGTTTGACCTGGCTTCATATTCCAATGTACAAGCATTATAAATGACATCGCAACCAAGCTAGCGTTGCAATAACCACTTGTTCTCTCAATTCTCTGCCAAGATCCCTTGCTTTGATCAGAATATATAGAGGTATGACTATTTTTTCTTCATTAGCTAACGTATTTATGCATATCAAGATTGTGTTCACCTAATTCATATACTTTTGTGTGTGTGTGTGTGTGTGTGTGTATATAGGAGAGGTTTATGGCGAATCCTGAAGATCCATTTGCAGCGATTGCAAATATAGGACCCAATAATGAATATCCGAACTACGAGATTCATCATCATGTAACCAATATTAGTAGCAGAACGATATTGGACGCCGAACGAGTAACATTGTCAGTCAAGTGTCCAAGTTGCGAAAAATCATTTTATGTGCGCACAAACATGACAGCCGGTACAGCAACTACTACTACTACTGAGATAGAATTTAACGCTGCAGGCACAAATTTTCCAGTACATGAAAATAGAAAACGCGAATCCAACAAAAAGAACCGCAATAAGGGAAGACTAAAAGCTACTGCCGCTGCTGATCGGAATAACTACACACCGCCTATAAGTGTTGGCAAACGTGGACGCACATATGACGTTGATTCTGACTCGGAGGATGATCCCCGTGTTCCGAGGAAATCCAATGATGTTAATCGCTATTTGAAATTCAATGACTAGTACTCATTAATCAGGAGATTGATTCACGTGTACTTCCCTAAAAATGGTGATTCTAAACACCTTTAGCAAATAATTGACATTCACAAGGATTTTCTTGATCCTGTTGCTGTTTAGTTGCTGCATGTTTTCTTTGTTCCAGTTATACAGTAAACATTTTCAGAACTCCTTGTAAGAAACAGATATTCAAAAAAAGGGGGTAAGTGAACTTGCCATGAGCATGTGAAATTAAAGCTAGATTGAGTTGCATAAATAGTTCAGACATAAAATCAAGCTCTTGGTACCATTGCGAATGTCTTGGAGAGTACTTTAGGATGCTGCTACCAAAATTCAATACGCGTCTAAAGTTGACCACTTAAATCATGTATTTTGGCTTTTATGCCAACACTACCAATTTCGGTGTGTCTATTCCAATTGAAACTCAGTTTTCTCGAATTTCTCAACGATCAAGAGAGCAAGACGAACTCATTATTCAAAAATAGTCCTTTAACTCGTTTAATCAAAAATATTTTGAGAGAGTTTGAACCGTGTACTGGAACGATAAGTGAAAACAGACCTTTTATTTCTTTGAAACAATTTCAGCCATATGATCAAAACTGATAGTCAAGATTAGACTCAAAGAACCACAAAGCCCGGACTCCTTTCATCGTCCACCAATATTTGCCATGTTCCACATGGTCTATTTCCTATCAATTTTCCAAATAACGTCCAATTGCTGTAATGGATCCGACAGAAAGGTATCCTTAGAAGAACAATCAGCCGTCCGTTGCTTCTTAGACATACATGATATGGTCAAGGAAGATGATATAGACATGACTTCCGCACTTGTAGACGTTTGGTCATCCTTGTTCCCGGCCCAGTCTGCAACGGAGAAGGCGCAGAAGTATGATAAATAGTTCCTTTTTCAAATATATGTGATTGTCTATAATTATTTGCACAAGTTGATCAAGTTTAGGGTATCTTGCCTTACCTATTTCCGTAAACATATACACGTATGTTGCTAAATGCAAAATCTCAAGAAGTAAGTAATTGACATATAAAATGGGAGAGGGAGCTGCCATTTAATTGTTGTACATCTATTTCATTCTATTTCTATCCATATTAAAAATTTTAAAAATTACTGTTTTCATCCAGGTATATTCTAGTATTGTCTCCTTATTAAATTCATTCATTTAAACACCATAAATCTACACAAATTTTACATATTCATCTCAGTCCAAATCCATCCCTAATACAATTTCAAAATTAAAAAATTCATCTCCATTAAATATATATCATCCTTCTCACAATTCAAAAATTAATTCTATAGACCAGAAATTATAAAATGGGATTCCATGAACAATAAACGGCTATAATCCCCGCCACCCTCAATGTGACATGGACTCTATTATTTTATTGAAATTGAACTTAATAATTTGGAAGGACTCGTAGCATTTATTCCATTAAAAGGGGAAAAATTGATCGAAAGACTTGGCCTTTTGCCGACCACCATAAAACATGATAAATAGGCAAATTCTCTGCAGAAGTGAACGATCAAGTTGACATTTGCGCAATTTGAACCCGATGGAGATGACAAGGATTTTTTTCTCAAGGTCAGAGATATAAATCTAGAGAGCATCCATTAAGTCTTGGGAAGAGTAGCGTATAGAATCAATTTTTCCTCTTAGCATTGCACATCACGTGTTGCATAAAGATATGGTTTCTCCTTTGTGTCTGCAATCCTGCGATAATGACTATCACGCATGTCAAGAGTCAGAGTCACTCTAATATTTGTGCCTTACCATTTTTAATGTTTAGATTTAGGTTGCGTTTGATTGCTCATATTTTTTATGGAAAATGTATTTTTACCATCTAATTTGCACTTGAATACATATTGGATCTTATCTTGTATGGATTGTGGATTCAAATGTTAGAAACCCTCTTTATATG